TCCAACTGCTAACATTCTGTGATTCTGTGAAGCTCAAAGGATATGTAGAAAAATTGGAGATGATCCAGCAAAGGGCTACCAAGATGGCCAGGAGATGAAGCATATGACCAATAAGAAAAGTCTGAGGGATATATGCTTGTTTATTCCAGCAAGGACCACACTATGGGGTAATCTAAAGGAACGCTATGAAGAGTAACCATGAAGATGACAGAGTCAAACACCTCTCAGTAGCAATAAATAAAGCATAAAGGCAAAAAAATGCAGCTAGCAAAGTTCAGGTCTGACATTTTGAAAAAACACTCACTGGGAGGACAGTACAACCCTGAAACTGGTAGCCAGAGAGGCTGTGAAATCTCAGGCCATGAGAGTTATCCAGAAGTCAGCTCAAGAAAGCCACAGATGACCTGATCGAGCACTGGTAACGCTCCCAGTTGAAGCAAGGGTTCTGCCAGATCACCAGAGTTCCCTTCCAACCAACAGTACCGATGATGACACTATGAATACATGAAATCACTGTATGAAGTGCTAATCATTTGAGATTTCTTAGCTTCCACCATATTGACTTCAGAAAAAAAACTCTTAGAAAAAGCTTCCTTGATTCCAGGGCCTTCTGCCTACCAGAAAAGAGAAGAAGCTTGTATGTAATTTCTTCTAGACTAGGATTATGCCTGGTCTCCCGAGCACAGCTCCCTCACTTGCAGTCTGAGGAGGCGCAGGTTCACACACACCCCTGAGCTCCACCACCCTGTTACAATACACAGTATCAGCCACCAAAATTCAGTGAAGTGAGATGAAGACAGCCCTCAAATGAGCTCACTGCTCCAGGCACAGTTAACCTTCCAAACTCCAGTTATCAGATGGATATTAAGAAATCTGAGAAACTGCAGAGGACAGTCATAAAAATGATTAAGGAGCAGAAAGCATTATTTACTTAGGTAGAAAAACCAACAGCTATATACAAGTAACTTATCAAAGAAAAATGACTCGTATTGTCCCATCCTAGACACAGCATAGTGTGTTGTAAAAGAAAACCAGAGCTGCACAAGGTGCCTTAGCTCAGCATCACGAAGTTCACATACAGTTCACTCTTTCAGCTCCATTTTAAGATTTCTTCCAACAAGAATTTTACATAACAAATTAAAATGAGCTTTCTTCTATTTTTCACCCAACCTGGACATCTCAACAGTTCAACCCATTCATAGCTCAATACGACAGAAATCCTGGGTGGGAAGAGGAGGAGGAGGAGAACACTGGAATTTCCATGACCTTTTGCTGATTTCCAAAACCCTGTCTCCTGTACATGTAAGCAATCAATCTGTTTCTTTTACTACAGAGTAATGACTCATCACTTCTGTCACTTAAAAATGGAAAATAATTCCATCTGGCACTAAGGATCAGCAGCCAAATTATGTGTGTCTTGATCTAAAGATTAATTTGGTAATGACAGAAAGCCCCAAACTACAAAGTGTATTTTAGTATCTGCTATCATTCAATATTTCAGCATCTATCTCACAAAACTGACCTACCGCCTTCCCCACAACGAGAAGTGCTCACACAATGAACGCACCAGCCCCACGAAGGCCGGGCTCAGAGGCATGCACAGAAGCAGCTGCTTGGGTGGACAAACAGAGGGGGACAGGCTGTGCATGTTTGAAGCCTTCCACCACTGCCATTCTATTCAGTTACGAAGCGCTGATGCTACAGGTACATTTCCTTTACTTTCACAGCAGCGTACACTGATCCAAGGTTTACACTGTCCAAAGTCTTCCCCAAAATGATACTGACCAGATGTGGGGAGGCACTGACCTCTCAGAAGTTCCTCTTCCATACCTCCCCTTCTCTTACAGGCCGAGTACAAACCCGAACAAACCCGTCCATTATCTTCCTACCAGTGCTGCTATCCCCATTAACTGTCCCACCCACAAACACAAACTTTATTGTCCAGTCTCACCTGCACCTCTCCTCGGGCTGCTCAGCTCGTCTTCAGAGGCAGGAGGAAGGGGACACAATAGGTGAAGACTCTTTCCATTGCCTGGATGTTGCAGAAAGAGGGAACAGAAGTCACATCAATAACCACCACACAGAAAGAGAGATAAAAATAATACCTTGCTGGAGGGACATGGAGCATGCTCCAGGGATTTCTGTACTCTGAGGAGCTCATTTCCAGATGATTTTGAAAGAAAAACACATGGTTCACACAAAAGAAAAAAGGAGGTGAAGAGACGGCAAGAGCTTCCTCAGCCTTAGGCCCCAAAACAAATGACCCAATGGGCAAATCCAAAAGCTAGCAGAACCAGCAGCATCCGAAGGACACGTCTGACTTCCCAGACACAGCTGAGTTTGCTGTTCACAGAGCAAAGATGAGGCAAGACCAGCCACGACTGCTCGAATCCTGCTGCACAGAAGCAATTTTCTCACGACTGCTTTAGAAGAACATCATATACAGTACTGCCTCCCAGATCAAGCCAGATCTTGGATCCACGGGTCCCTATCTCCCTTCACCCAGAAAACTAATTTGACTGAATTATCTCCTGGCAAAGCAGCCAAGGGGAAGATGAGGGCCTTGCTCTGCCTTCCTGTCGGTACAAACCCTGCCAACTCTCTTCCCATCCCCAGACAGGAG